AATATATTCTTAGTTGGAACTAAGTTGGAAAAATAAATATGAAGGTCAATTAAATTATAAAACGACGTAAAGCTCTCCTTTTTTAATTCAATTGGCATATTTTTAATTGAATTTATTTATTGGTCCACTTATGTATTTCTGCTTTTTTTTTCTAGTTGTGTCAGTGTCGGTCCTCCATACTGCAGAACTTGGACGAGGTAATTCAATGTCTGAATCAGGTGTGTTGGAGCAGGGAAAAACGTAAAACCTGTAGGGCTGCGGCCCTCGAGGACCAGGATTGCCTACCCTTGTTTTATACAGAAAATCATATAAAAATACCTCCTTTGTGTATCAAAAACGTGCTAAAAGCTCTGTTCAGCTGAGCCTTCTCTAACAGGCTCAGAAGCCTCTCAGGAGGAACTCTCTCCCATCGTTTCCTCTGCCTGCGGTCTTCTGGATCACCCGACACACCTGGAAAAACAGACACCCAATATTAATCCTTTATGTTTTTAAAAACCTTCATACACGTCAGGAAATTAAAATGCCGCCATCGTACGTCCTCGGATAGAGCCGCTGTGCTGGGCCGACGCCACGCTGTCCGATGACATCAGGCTGGCACCGGCTAACATCTGCAGCACGGCATCGGGGGGCTCGGACTCCCACTGCATCCGACGCACCGGCTCCGTGCTTTCATAAGAGCTTCTGGGTAAATCCACACCTACACAAGTACAATTTAGCTCCTTCTTTTTTTTTAAACTAAAATCACAGTGACAACACTGCCGACCTTGACTCTACCTTCAGAGGTTGATGTTATTAAACTCTTCTCCCCGAGGAAATTAGTCACTTTCCTTCCCTCCTCTCTGTTCCATCGACCTAAACGCCTCCTCTCCTCTGTGGGCTATAAAAGATGCAGAGCAGTGCAGTAAATACATTTAACAAATAAACGCAGTACGTTGTGTGTGAAGCAGTGAAATCCTTTGAGCTTTTTCACCTGGGAGGGCAGATGCGAACACAGGAGCTTGGAAACTCGGTGAGAGGTCAGGATGGTGCGCACGGACGGCCTGTCCTTTGGGTTCATCTTGAACATGTGCCTGATCAAGTACTGCAGCTCGTAAGGCAGGTGGTCGGGGAGGGGAGGGTAGGCTCCCCGACACACCTTCAGAATCAGGCTCTTCCAGCTGGACGCCTGGAACTGGAGGCAGGAAGTGAAGTGTGAGGGTCTCGGAAACAACAAAGCAAACTGCAGCATCTGAGCCACAGATAATCCACAGATAACAGATTCACCTGACAAACTGTTATGCTGATGATCCTCTAATATATTTGTCTAATCACAAAAACCTGTATGACTCTTTTACTTCTCAGAAAAAACATGGGTTTTTATGGTACGGTATGAGGGCCAAAATTGAGACTATTGTGCAACCAGTGGTAGCTACATCCTAGTAGCAGGAGGCTATATCTATTCATAAGGCAGCTATTGATCTGATTAGTGATAGGCCAGCACCGCTAACAGAGCAGCTGACCCTGGTAGAGGCCGATGCTGGCAAATGAGACGGAGGCTATTCATTTGTGTTAGCATTGGAGAGGCTAGCAAACAGCATGGATAAGCTGGTGTTAGTGTTGGAAAGGATAGCAAATAGCATGGATAAGCTGGTGTTAGCATTGAAGAGGCTAGCAACTAGCATGGATAAGCTGGTATTAGCATTGAAGAGGCTAGCAACTAGCATGGATAAGCTTGTGTTAGCATTGGAGAGGCTAACTACTAGCATGGATAAGCTTAGCATTGCAGAGGCTAGTGACTAGCATGGATAAGCTGGTGTTAGCATTGGAAAGGCTAGCAAATGACATGGATAAGCTGGTGTTAGCATTGGAGAGGCTAGCGACTAGCATGRATAAGCTGGTGTTAGCATTGGAGAGGCTAGCGACTAGCATGGATAAGCTGGTGTTAGCATTGGAAAGGCTAGCAAATAACATGGATAAGCTGGTGTTGGCATTGGAGAGGCTATAAAATAGCATGGATAAGCTGGTGTTAGAATTGAAGAGGCTAGAAAATAGCATGGATAAGCTAGTGTTAGCATTGGAAAGGCTAGCGACCAGCATGGATAAGCTGGTGTTAGTATTAGAGAGGCTAGCGACTAGCATGGATAAGCTTAGCATTGGAGAGGCTAGCCACTAGCATGGATAAGCTGGTGTTAGCATTGAAGAGACTTAAAAACTAGCATGGATAAGCTGGTTTTAGCATTGAAGAGGCTAGCAAATGCACGGATAAGCTGGTGTTAGCATTGAAGAGGCTAGCAAGTGCACGGGTAAGCTTGTGTTAGCATTAAAGAGGCTAGCAAATAACATGGATAAGCTTGTGTTAGCATAGGAGAGGCTAGTGACTAGCATGGAATAGTTGGTGTTAGCATTGTAAAGGCTAGCAAATAGCATGGATAAGCTGGTGTTAGCATTGAAGAGGCTAGCAACTAGCATGGATGAGCTACAGCTAAAAAAAACTTTGTATGTTAACCATTTTAACTGGGAAAGTTTTCTTTATTCAAAGTTGCTAGCCTCTCCAATGCTAACGTCATCTTTTTCATGCTAGTTGCTTACCCTCCACAATAAAAAGTATCACCAGGATCGAAGCGTACCGGGTGTTTCAGCGTGCAGAGCTCGTAGAGGACGCAGCCCAGTGACCACACGTCGCTGCAGAACACACAAAATAGAAGCTTGATATTCATCGTTTACTGGTCCAGTCACAGAAAACCAAACTTCGTGGATCACTCCACCACCGAGCACAGACCTCCACACTGCTGATGGATGATTTAAAGGGGTCATATCATGCAAAATCAGCTTCACAATCTAGCATAAAATGCAAGAATAAAAATCAAACAATGCATTAATTTTAAATTTGATCCCAGTAGGGTACACCAAGCCCATCATATAGACAAACGAGACAAACACTGCCACACACGGGGGGATAATTCAGGGTCTGTTTGTACATCTGCATCACCAAAAGTTACGATCACACTTCTCTCTGACTGTTAGAACTCAAAGCTGAAATATTTCAAAAGAACACGCTTTAAATTCTGTTTGAAAGTCAGAGACGGCATCCTCCGCATTAAATAAGGAAGGAACCAAGCAGCTTTTTGTCAAAGTAAACTACAGCAGTCTGAGTTTATATCTAGGTCACGAAATATTCTGCAAAAAATAAATAAATATCAGCTCTCTGCGTGTAGGAAAAGTAGCTGAATCCTGCCAGGTCCTGTGTTTGGATTTTAAAAAATCAAGTATTTACACTGTTAACACTATTAGTTTGAAGCACCAGTCATCTTTATTTACACCTTGAGCTAAAAACTTACTTTTTACCCATCTGTTTTTATACTTTCTGTTGATTTTACATAAATATTTACAAAGTTAACAACTCATTGTTGGTTATTACTCTTCATTAAAACACTATTTTCTGTCCTCATTTTACTTTAACTGAAAAAGATTTCAAAAACACATTTTTTATGCATTTACAGCGGGTAAAATAAGTATTGAACACGTCAACATTTTTCTCAGTAAATATATTACTAGAGGTGCTAATGACATGAAATTTTCACCAGATGTTGGTAACAACCC